GTGTGTTTTGTTCACATGCATCTCCTTTTACTGTTTTTAGTCACTCTGTCAATCCTGCTGTAATTTAAAGAGGACAAACTGGGCTATTTGGTGATATCTAAACCCGATAAGCTCCATCCAAAATAGGTAGCACAAGATCATTTAAGTCAGATACTGTGTCTTTTTTTCATTTTAATAGTCTGATAATTATCCTCGTCCTCGTTTGAGATGTCAGGAATTATATATTTGGCTTAAAGCAGATACATGTTTTGTGATTTAAACACAAATATCCCTTTAAGAAATATAAATTATAATGAACACATAGAGAATATTTAAAGTCTCCGTGTTGTTTTTGCAAATAGAACTGAAGCAGAGAAGATTCTTGCCAAGATATCTGACGGAAATTCAAGTTGGAATCTGTCAGATGATGAGAGAAATGACAAAGATTTTGAACTTGGGATCGAGGTCGTAGCAAAAACTATCCCCAAATATGAAAAAAACACTTTGAAATAAAAGGAAAAACTAACTGAGCCAGAAGTTCTGACTGAGCAGAAAACACTCATTTTTAAGTAATTCAAAGATGTTGTAATATCGTCAATGAAAAGTGGGGAGACAGAATAAAAGTGCATCTGTTTTTAGATGTGAATAAAGACTCTGTTTGTACATGTTCGTATCAGTTAAAGTGTGTGTGCTTTAGATTTAGCTGTGGGTTCAGTTGAAGCTTATGTACAGACTCTGAAAGCCTGTAGAGATTAAACGTGCTCTGAAATGCTCTGGAACCGAGTGGTACAAACTGTTTCACAATGCAAGATTGACCCTAAACAAACGAAATGCAAAACAAAAGAGCTGGATGGACATCGTGTGACGTCTCAACGAGGTGGATGTTCTCATCAGAACAATTGATTTTAGTGTCACATGTGTACTTATGTCATTACACTTGTAATTTCATTATTCTCGCATTCGCATAACTTAACTGTTTCATGTAAGTGTTACATAAAAAAAGGGTTTTGTATTGTATAAGAAGTCTTGTTTTCTTCTACAGGCCAGCCTTGCCTAAATATGCAAATTACTATTAAATGGCCTAAAGCGATTTGCTGAAAAACAAATAAGAAACATTATGCCAACACAGTGTGAGTAATGGCCTCAACCTGGCCACGCCTATTAAAATGAGCTGAACCCATACGGTGAATCTACAAAATAAAAACAAAAATAGAGCAGAAATGTCTTTAGTTTTTATCCGTGTCAGCTCTACATGACTGTGTAGAGACCTTACATACGTATTCAGTTCCACTATTACTACTAATGGTTATAAAATACTAACAATTATAAATATAAATGGGAAGACGCTCCTAATTCAGACATATTACCATGTCTGATATTTATAATCGATTCTTCAGTTTTGAAGATTTTCTAATACATGCAAACTGAATTAACAATACAAGTACGGTTAAAGGGACGAGGAGAAAACGGCTCCAGGATTATCATCACTCTAAAAGTAAAACGTGCAAAGGAAGAAATGAAGAGCAAAACTAATTTAGCTGAGGTTTGACAATCAACTAAATCAGATAAAAACATGTTCAAAGGCCTCCAGGGGACCAATCACATGGTTCGGACATACAGTTGAAACCAGATGTTGACATTAAATCAGACTAAAGTGGCCGTTACAAAGTCCTGATCTTAATCCTGTAGAAAATTTGTGGGCAGAGCTGAAAAGGCGGCCAAGAAACCTGACTCAGTTACACCAGTTCTGTCACGAGGAATGGGCCAGAACTCTATCAAACTATTGTGAGAAGCTTGTGGAAGGAAACCCAACATGTTTGACCCAAGTTATACAGTTTAAAGGCAATGCTAGCAAATACTAAGGAAATGGATGTAAACTTCTGACTTTGAAGAAAGTAGTAAAAAAAAATCTCTTTCTCATTATTCTGGCATTCAGCAAATATAAATAATTTTGGTCATCCTAACAAACCTAAAACAGGAAAAGTTTAGTCTGATTTAATGTCAGATAGTGAGAAAAAAAACAGGTTATGTGTCTTTTTATACAGTGTGTAAACTTCTGGTTTCAAATGTATGACAATGTTTTAATAAAAGAATATACTGACATCCTTACAATTAAAAAGCAAGAAATGATAGAAAGATATATTGTTTTCTGAACCAAGCTAAATGTATTCTTGGTTAAATGTAACTCTACGGCCCTAATCTGCTCAGTTTTAATGCTATGAAATGAAAGATGTAACAAAATTGAACGATTTTACAGAAATAACCAGAAGAACCTGTGGTAATCTCAATCTGTTCTGTATATACTATCAAAACAATACAAATTTCGGTCAATTTCATCACCCTGCAAAGTTACAGAGTAAATAAACAGGGTGACGGGGTAACTTCTGCAGAGGTCAGTGTCAGAGGTCTCTAAATCTAAAGCTGCTCTCTCAGACCTTCTCCAATCCACATGACTAATGGTTTTTCCCCCACCGACCATTATTCACTTTAAATGCACTTAAAAACTAACTAAAATTAACGCAGTCGTGCATTAAACGAATATTCCAACAGAATGCACCACCAGTCGTGCAGCTCATTGTTTTGCAGCAGAGCCGGTGTCCATAAAGTAAAATGATGAGCTCCTTCCTGAGCACGGGGGCCAGGTCATGAGGCCATTAAGCGGGAAAATTAGATTAGCTTAAACTTAATGCAGTCCTTGTTAAATTCCACTCCAGAGGACACAACTGTTTCCCTGCTGCCGGCTGATCTGACTGCGCTCTCTGCTTACAGGAACCTGCTTCACCCTGTCGTCAACGGTGACAGCAATAATGTGACGTTTTGGGAAATTCACTTACCGGGACACACTACGTTGCCGAGAAGCGGAGGAAAAGATCAATACTACTCAGTCCTGTTTACATAGTTGGACTGCGGCTCGCGCCCACGTAGCTCAGCACAAGACTGAGAAAGGAGGAAAACTTCTTGCCTCTAAAGGTAAGGGTAAAGGCTTTTGCACTGATAGAACAAACAAGATGAAGTCTATGGGCGCTGGGAGGGAGATTTTATACCGTCAGACAGGTTCAAGTTAGCTGCTTCCTCTTGTTTGCACACTTTATGCTCTATAGTTTATGCAAATTTAATATTTATAGAAGACAGACGCAAATGTGGCATCACTCTACTTCCTTTCCGACCGCAGAGTAGGAATTAAGTATGCTGATTTCAAAAAGGTTAAGTGGACTTTCATCGGGAATTTCATAATTAAAACACTTCAGAACTGCGTAGCCCTCATAATAACTGCAGAGGAATTTTGTGAATGCATTTTTGCACAGAGTAAGGACCCATCGTTTACATTAGAATGCATTAGAAAGAGATCTCTTCAGTGAGAACTCCACAGCCTTTTACAAAGTTGCATAAAGCCTTTTGTGGCTTCATACAGCTGCACAAAACTGTGCAAAGTTTCCTCAGGTTTCATTTGGGCCAACGTTGGTTGGGACTGAAGAGTACAAGTTTGAAAATTAATACAATTTTTGAGTGTGGGCGTAAAAAGAAGTGAGCTGAACAGACCTCCACAGCAGCCCACTCCTCATTTCTGCCTGATTAGCTGCTCTTAACACAACACGACTGGATCTCCAATGACACTTGTTACTGCTGAGTTGCAGCCTTGACAAAGAAGAAAAATGCTCAGTAAAAAAGGTGATATCAGTGGTTCCACTGCACATATTTAGATTAATTTAACAAAGAAATTATTACTTGAAGCAAGTCCTGTGTTTGTAGTCACATACTAGTATATAGCCAGGTGTTGTTTGGAGATAGATTCGAAAAATTGGGAACATATTGTATAATATGGCACTAACATCTATTTTACCGTTGATTGATCTAATTGAATATTTTAATTCCTCTAATTTGTAAATTTTTAACCCAAAACTCACCATGTATTTTAAGTTATTGCATGTTATTGTATAAAATAAAACAACATTTTTAAATTAATCCATAAAACTGAAGCGCTAATCTGGCAACTCCAGTGTTATAAATATAAATTAAATCAAGGATTTCTTTCTTTAATCAGTCAGTAGTGCAGCTCCAAAAGAAATCTAAGGTTCTGTTAAACCCCTTAAAGTGCATCTTAAACAAATTGTAACATGGACTCATCAGATAAAGTCACTATGTTCTCTGACTTTGGCATCAGCCTCAAATTTTATGAAAATTTCAAATTATCACCAAATTCATAGCACAGCTGTCCCCTTTAACTCATGTCTAAAGTGCGTTTTTTTTTTTTTTTTTTTTACAAGATTTTAGCAGAACAGCAGCTCGGAAGTGACTGTGAGTTAGTTGACTGTGAGTTTTAATGGACCTCGTTTGACAACCCAAACAGAAAAATATGCAAAGCACCGAGTACAGAAGGGAAACAAAACAGACTGAAAGTGTCTCCCTGCTGAGTAGAGACTGTGTGTTTTCTCTTCAAGTGTGCTATGCCATCGAAACTTTACACACAAATCGTCTTTTGTTCTGTGATCGTTTTAAGTATTTCCATACTTTTGAAGCCTTGGAAACTTTCACACTGAGCCGAGTCGGACTCTATTGTCTAAAACTGTAGCGCTGACTGGAGCCAAAACCGGTTGACATCATGACGCAACAATAGGTGAGAAACATTTTGTATAATGAATTGAAGTTACAAAAAACAAAAACAAATATTGGATAAATATATTGCATTTCCTGCAGGATGCCAACTCAATGTGGTAGCTCTGTAATAAATGCATCCTAAAGCACATTTTATTGGGGAAAACTACCCCGAGAACATGTGTTCCTGCTCTTCTGACGTGCACACACGTAACACACAAGCAGGCCACCCACTTATAGCACTTCATTAACTTTCTGTTTGTTCTGCCGTCCTGGTACATAAGGCTCTTTCTTCACGGCTCCTGAAATGAAGCACCATTTTCTCTTGTACTCACCATATAATACTAGTCCACAGAGTGGGGCATTAACTATTGTGAGCGCAAGCAGATGTGAGAGTGCTTTGGAGAAGAAAAGAAATGAAAGGATACTTGTAGTCCAGGCGGTGCCACAGGCCCCGTGTTGTGTCTGGTCTCCCTGTAGCAACCTGTGGACCATGAGAGAACCAATGTTAGTTTCGTCCACACACAAAGACGCACTGAGGTGGCTTGTATACGCCGCCTGATGGAAATGCTGAAAACCAGCACCCTGGGACGGTCAGCGGGGCCATATCCAATGACCTCGGGCCTTGTGCTCATATAGGAAAAATCCTGTTCCCAAAAAACTGCACAATCCCCGGAGATGCCTTCCCTCTACAGTAAGAACACGCCCTCCCCTCCAGCCGTCCCCGTGTGGACTCGCGCTCTGGGCAAGGTTACATTCGTCTATTTCCATAAGAAAGAAGTCTGGAGCTCAACCTCAACCCCTCCGCTGGGATCCTCGTCCAGCCTTTACCGGCCGAACCGTCTATTCGAAGATGCCCAGACCGTGTCCCATTCATAGCATGCAGATAAGAGGCAGGTCAAATGAGAAGATGAAAGAGAGGAGCACTGCTGGGAAGTGGTGACGATAATGTGGGAGGTGTGTGTGTATATATGTGTGTGTATATATGTGGGTGAATGTGCCTGCACGACAACAAAAAAAACAGCTGCACTCAGAGCGCCTCAGTGTTGGACGGGATGTGGTGCAGACCATCATTTAGCAGGGTGCATTTCCTCTGTTTGAACGCTTCTTCACTTTGATATCATGCGGTGTTAGAATAAACAACAGGGACCAGATTAAAAGGTAAGAAGCATGTTCTGTGTCCGTGGGAGAGGATGGCAAGATGCACTGTAAATCCCTGCAAAGTACAGTACGTGTGAAAATTACACCTTTTGGTAAATCCTCAGTACTGTTCGTGCAAAAACATCTACATATAATCAATTTGAGTGTACAGACACATACAGATTGAGAATGGGAAGTAGGGCAGATTTGTGGTAATGTAAAGACAGCTCAACCAAAGGATGATTCATCAAGGAAGTATTTTTTTTAATGCTTTTTAACCCAGTTCAGGACTTCTGGGCTCTGTTGGACCCCAGACCATTTAGTTTAGGTGACAGGTCTTGTTTTTGTATTTTTGAAGATTTTTTTTTTAAAATATAAAAAGAGGGACATTTGTCACGCATTTGGAATCAAAACTATGTCAACTTATCAGAAAATGTATATAACATGGTACAAAAGTCTACAATGAATACCAACAAATATTTTGCACATATTCTTTCTTGGGGACCCCGAAAGACCTTCTACATATGGCAACATAAAAGTCCTGAATAGGGTTAAATAGTATACATTTACTTGTTTTTCATATTTTTACTTGTAAATACATAAATATAAAACAACATACTTGTACAGTATTCCACCATTTTTTAAACTACTTTTTTTCTGGCACTGTTGCTGCCAGATTTTCTCCATTTATCTTTTTTTAAAAAGCCTTTTACATTTTTTTTTAATTAATTTTTTTTTTAACGGCGTGTCTCTTGTGAGGTGGGGCTTTCTGTATCAGTATTTTTATGTTTCATTATTCTAAATATTTGTTTTATTTCATAATTTGAAATCACAAATTTTTATCCTGTTCTGTCCTTTTTTTCCTTCATTATTTTCCATGTATTGTATTTTATTTTGTAAATTGATTTTATACATTGTTCTTCCTATCCCCTGTCTTTTTTTTTTTGCATGTATCTGTTGCCTGCAGAGAACTTTAGTCAGCTCTGGCTGTATTAAAATATGCTACATAAATAAATTTGGTTTGACTGGATCATTTGGGCGCTGCAAGGTGCATCAGTGGTTAGCATCGTTGCCTCACAGCTAGAAGGTCGCCGGTTTGCGTCCCCGTGAGGACACCCAGGATCTTTCTGCGTGGAGTTTGCATGTTCTCCCCGTGCAGCGTTGGTTCTCTCCGGGTTCTCCGGCTTCCTCCCACAAGGTTGAAAAACATGTTGAGGTTAATTGTTGATTCTAAATTGTCCGTAGGTGTGAATGTGAGTGTGCTTGGTTGTCTATCTCTAAGTGTAGCCCTGTGATAGACTGGTGAACTGTCCAGGGTGTCCCCTGCCTTCATCCTAAGTCAGCTGGGTTAGACTCCAGCCCCCCCACGACCCTAGTGAGGATTAAGCGGTGGATAGATAATGGATGGATGGGTCATTTTGTTTTATGACACTTTCAGCAGGCAGTTCCACAAATACGTTCTATGTAACAGCTAAACATCCTGTGTTGTGTTTTTTGCTGTAGGTGCAGACACGCCTATGAGAAAGAAGAACTTGCAACAGAACTGCAGCTCAGTTTAAATACCATGACAATACCAGAAAAGACAAAGACTGCAGGAATAAATACAATAGATAAAACAGTGACTTCTGAATAGTGACAATAGGGCGCTTTTACCTCTAAAGACAGGTCCTGTGGATTTTCATCTGCATCCACCCCCACTCTGTAGTGAATGGAAAAAAAAAGAATACAGTCAAACCTTGACTCAATAGGATGAAACAATAAAGAATCAGAGACAAATCCCAGGAGTTTTATTCCGCACTGCATGTGAAGCCATATCTGTTTGAACAGATCCGTCTGGTACCGCACGTAACTTCGCAAAGAGGGTGAAAGTCGGCGCATAACGCGGCTCGGTTTGAACATGACCTTTCAAACAGTTTCATCAAAATCAGCCTCGTCTCCCACATCACACCGAGAAAATGTCAGCTGGGTAAACCTTTGATAAATGACAAAACAGCGCCGCAATTATGCTTGATATTCTACAGGACGTGGCTGCTGTTATTATCCTGTCAAGGTGTGGACCCCACTTTGCTGCCACGGGGGCTGGGAGGAGAGGCCGAGCGGCTGCCTGCTCGCCGCGAATTGAAATAAAGTGACTCAACGAGGACCGGTGACAGCCCAGTCAGCCACTTCATCGAGGAAAACGAGGGTGTTATCTGGTGAAGCCCAACACTAATGCATGATTTTTTATTTTTTTTACTTTAAATCTGCAGCATCTTCTCAAGACAGGTGATGAAAATGACTGATATAATTATGTGTCATCCAAAATCATTCGGAGCTGCTGCACCATCAGGACGCTGTGGGTAGAAAATAGCTGGCGGTGCTGGTTCCTACAGGTCATTACTGCTCAGGACATTTTCAGAACCACTGTGTTGTGTGTGTGTGTGCATAGTGTGCCTTTCCAATGTGCTGACACAAAAGCCTTCCACTGAGAGCCCTCTGCAATAACACAACTGAGGAGATTCTCATCAGAGCATTAAAGCGCCGCGACTACTTAAGGTTGTACTGATTTCTTTCTTTTTTTGTGTGTTGGCCGCCCTCCTTCCTCCATCCATCTCTCTGTCGCTGTTTGTCTTGACTCTGCCTCAATTCCTTCCCTCTCAGATGGCTGCTCCCTCTTGTTATTGCTCCTCAAATTTCAGTTCGGTCTTCGTACACAGGCTCTTTTTTTTTTGCGCCGTACGGATCCTGTGGTGTGAAAATCTCTTCTCCGACTGTACTTGTTTATTCGTTTTGATTCTGAGTATTCTCTCTTTTCCTCTATTCTGTCTCATCCTCTGATTTTTTTTTTCCTCCCCCTGCAGCTTTTCACACTACACCAACCTCCATCTTCACCCCATCCGTCCTTTCTTTTTTTTTAACCTAATATTTTTCATGTTCTCTCTTTCCTACACCAACTCTCTTTGCTAATTTATCTTCTCAAATATCCATTTCAGACTCTCAGATCACTCTTCCCATCTTCATCACCTCCCACATCCTCTTATTTCTGCTTCTTCTCACCCATCACCATCTTCCAACTTTTTTTTTTCTTTTCTTCCCTGCCCACCACATGGATCTATTCTTCTTGTCAGCAGAACAGTAGAAGGAGGTGCTGAAATTGCACCGAAACAGCGGTCAAGATATTGCTTGAGATCTGTTTTTATTATGCAAAGGTTTTTCTAAGTCTACACTGGAGGAAGTTGCTGTTTTTTTTCCTTGGTGTGTTGTGGGAGAGCCTCTCGGATGGGGCAGGCTGTGACAGGCACAAACAAGCAGCGCTGCATATGACGCATCACCTTCAGCTGGTGGGATGCATTCCATGGCGACAGGCTCTGTCACCGAGCTAAGCTGATAGCAAGAGGAAAGGGCAGATAAGGTGTGAGGGGAAGGGAGAAGAAACAGAACACAAGCTGGAGGTAGAGCAAAGAGAATAAGGTGAGAAGAGCACAAAACAAACAAATAAAAAAAAAGAAAAAAAAAGAAGTGTAGGTTGGCTTCCGGAGCGTGATGGAAGATAATCTATGGTGACATGACGGTGACAGAATGCTGGTGAATGTGTGTGAGAGATAGTGAGCTGGCGAGTGTGAAGATTGACTAGGGAGACAGGACAAGACAGCCAGAGAAGGAAGACATAAAAGAGAATAGAAGAGAGTGACGTTGTCCCTCAATCCCGATGCAAGAGAGGAACAAAGAGATAACAAGGCAACGGAGAGGAGGAGGAGGAGGAGGAGGAGGAGGGGGTGTTTGTGAGAACGACGACAGTCTGCTTTGTGTCTCTGGGAAAATATTTTTGCTGTCAGCCGGTCTCCTCTCGCAGGATCGCTTTTTCAAAAAAAATCGCCGTGACCCCTGCGCACTGCTAGCCTTATCTTCAACCCGCCGACATCCAATAAAGACAAATCGAGTCCAAACTAATTTACGACTGTGACTTCACACGAATGGATCCGTCAATGAGTGCATGCGACGGGAGAAGGAAATAAAGTGCAACAGAGATGAGAAGTCTGCAAATTTTTGCATAAATTCATATCTACTGCAGGAAATACGGGGCCTAGACGATAGCTGAGTCATAGATGCTTCAGTCATACGCCTCCACAGACGAACTGATCCTCCATGAATAAGGTGGAGTTCCCCCATTCTGTGGGGAAAATCATGCAATAAAACCCAGTCAAAAAGAAACACACAATGGAGTAACTCAATCTCCTGCAATCCGTTAAGATTGAGCTGTGGCTCCTGTAATCCCGACAGTCACAAACATAAACTCTTCTGTCTCCATTATTAGCCTATTTATTTTCTGATACAATCTTAAATCTGTGACTAAAACATTGCTGGACACGTTCCAGGATGAGGCTGCAAAGAACATTCACTGACGACTCATCGGGTTTTCTGGGAAACGTTGCTATTAACCGTGTTAACTGGAAGAGAAAGTACCTGATTTTAAACTACTATCTTGTCCAGTACAAAAAAAAAAAAAAGAATTACACACCAAAAGTGAGGTAGAAACCACCCACACACACCTATAAACACCTCCTTTCAAGTTAATACTTCCACTACGCCTCACAGAAAAAAAGATGAAGAGAAAAACAGTTTGGCCTTGGGCAGCGATGAAGCATGTGTGTGTGTGTGTGTGTGTGTGTGTGCAGATACATGTGTGTTTGTAGCTTTGTTATCAGCCTGGCAGACGCTAGCAGGCTGATAAAGCTGAGCTTGCTGTGCTGCAGGCAGACGGAACATGAAGCCTCAAGAGAAGAAATCACAGCATCACAGCAACGACGTCTATGCACACACGGCTCATTTATAATATATAGTCAGACGTCGGAGGGAGTCTACAGGTTGTAGTCGTCTTCCTTGCAGTTGTTTATTAATGAATACGCATTTCAAGTGGATGCGATTAGCGGCATCGATTAATAAACAACTTCTTTTAGAGTTCAGGAACTCTGCGAGCGTACGCTCAACAGGCCGGGTAAATGAAGTTACAGCACTCCTCCCTTCCGCCGTGCTCGCTCTTTGCGCTATTTCCTTCTCTCGCTGCTGTGACAGAGCGAGCGAGGATGAGAGGGAAATAGAAATAGGGGGGGAGGGCGCGGGGAGAAAAAGACAAAGAGAGTCTGAGTCTCACTGGGACTGTTTGCTCTGTGCTGCGAATTTGGACAAGAGGAAAGCTGTAAGTCATCCTTCCAGTTTCCCTGTTTGCAGATCCCATTTGGTTATTCTTCTCGCCAGGGACACACGGATACCTTATTCCACTCTTGGCATCAGAGACTGGAATTTGCATTGATGCCACGCGCATATACGGCACCGTGCACAAGTTTCAGCATGGTGGACTTTATTGTTACGGCAGATAGTTTTATGTGTCTGGTTGTTTTTTGGGGTTGTTGTCGTGGCACTAGATGATGGATAATAATATAAGAATCTAACTTTAGCACTTCACTGTTTATATAAAGACCAGAGACACTAACCAACCACAACATTACAACCACCTGCCTTATATTTTTCCCCTTGTGCTTTAAAAACAGCTCAGACCAGTTCTGGATGTCTGGGGGGTTCTATTGTGTCTGGTATCAGGACGCTAGCAGTGGGTCCACTGGTGCATCCCGTGGATGCTCAATCGGATCGGGATCTGGGGAGTCTGGAGGCCGAGTCAACGGCCTGGGCTCTTGGTTTAGTCCCTGGAGTGGTTCCTGTAAGGCAGGGGTGTCCAATCCTGGTCCTCGAGGGCCACAATCCTGCATGTTTTAGATGTTTCCCTCTTCCAAAACACCTGATTCAAATGATCAGGATGTGTTGGAAGAGGGACACATCTAAAACATGCAGGACTGTGGCCCTCGAGGACCAGGATTGGACACCCCTGCTGTAAGGTTTGTAGGGTATGTTGGGGGGTGGTACATGTCAAAGTAGCATCTACATGAATGTCAGGAGCCAAGGTGTAGCAGCAAAACACTGCACTGCGATGGGATGATCAGTGTCATTCACCAGTCGATGTTGTACTGTTGTGGCTGATCTGTGTGAACGGCACAAGTGCTGTGATACGACATGACAGTGCTATAGTGTTTGGCAGGAGCAGTAGATGGATTTTATGTTGTCATGTCATATTAGGTGCATCGCAAACTGCCCCAACACCTGTTCACCAGCTACAACACTACAATAAAACAACAGTATATTTAGCACAGAGGTGGGACAAATGCAAAAAAATAAAAAATAAAATAAAAAATCAATGTACTAAAGGGCTCTTTAAAGTCATATATCAGTAAGAATCCATTTATCTGCAGACTGTAACACCTTATATCATCTCAGAATGAAACATTTCTGTGAGTATGAAGAATGTCTAAGAATGTACTCTGGCAGCTCTGGCGGTAGTGTAAAAATAAAAAATAAAAATGAAAAAAAAAAACAATGCAGACGTCAATACCTGCAGTGATTCAGACACTGACTGTAAGATCTCAGCGTACTGACCGCAAGATTGCAGTGATAAGAAAAAGCAGCAGCGGATAGACTTTATGCAAAGCACAACTGTGCATTGAAGTAGATTCACAGTCTTCTATCCACACTGTCGAGATAGAATACTTTAAAGGGGCAAGATCTAATAGTGTAGGTTTGTATAAATTACAAGCATGTTTGAATGTATTTGAGCCGTTTCTCTTGTATCTTTGATTACACTGGGTTACAAAAAATACTTTTTTGAAGGAG